ATGAATCACTTGCTGTTGAGCAGAGAAACTGACATCGATTAAGTGGTGTGATAAACAACTCACACTCCCCCCCCCAAAAAAATACAACTATTGATAGGAACAGTTTCATGAGAGAGATACATTCTCTATATTTAATCAAAGAACCAAGTAAGCAAGTAGATGGCCCTGAAATATTGTGGAAACATACAAATCTGTTAAACAGGCTAAAAAAAAGCAGTGGCAGGGTTCTTCCACCACACTGGATATTTGGTGGATCAAGCCGAGGAACTGATGACTGCTTTTTTGGCTGCAAGTTCTGAATAGACAGGCTCCATTCTTATGGTAAAAATCATTGACCACATTCAGAAAGGATCAAAGGTTTATTCAGACTGATGCCAAACACATAAAACAAAACTGGAAAAAGCAGGGTATGATCACTTAATTGTGAATCATGTTTCAGATTGTGGATCTGGAAACAGTTGCCCACATACAAAATGTTGAAAGATTGTAAGGCTCTACTAAATAGCAAAATAAAAAAGCAAGAATGCACAGCTTATCATTATAATGAATCACAGCTGATAGAATTCATGTGACAACAGTCCTTGAGAGGAAAAATTACTTTTGATGCTATATTAAAAACAATCATAGAAAATTGGTAGCACATATACTCATATGTAAAAAGTAAGAACGAGCTTGGTGATAATCTTGGCGTCATTGTGAAGTGGGCCATGAAAATGAGAAAGTACCATTATATCTTATTTTTTTATTTAAAATAAATTATAAGGGGGAAAATAAAGGGCATCTTTTACAGATCCTAAATGATATTAAAATTATTCCTTCAAGAATTGATGTACAAAAAAGAATCACTAAAAAGTAATAAATTTTCTGCATTGGTAGTCTGATATGATTGTTTAACACATTTGTTTTACCTTAGCAGTATTCCAATATCATAAGTAGAATTAAAATTAGACTAAACAAAGAGCTGGACACTCATTACATGCAACTTAAAATTAGCATAAAATTACATCCAAAAGACTAGCAATTACACAATAAAAACAAATTTAAAGCAATTCTTACACTTTAATGTAAAGGCTCCCTACATGAAGTAGATTATGCTTCAATGTGTAAAACATGCAAAAGTTTCATAAATTAAATTTATTTCTAAAAATACAAAAATTTGTATTTATTAAAAAAATTTCTATAAAATTTACATTTACATAAAATCACCAGGATTAGAAAGAAGTAAAAAATTGTACCTCACATAAATGCATGATTAAAAATACATATATATGCATATTTGTTCTATTCGTCACATATACTCATTTTTTCACTTGTGAAAAATTTAGAATAAAACGCATATTTTAAAAAGCTTTAAAAATGTGCATCACTTTTTAAATACTGTATACATAAAAATACTTGCGGTATACAATCATCAGATATTGTAATTTTAATATAAAGTCATAAGAGAATACATACATTAAAGGAAAGGGTAAAAAAAGCATAACTTGGAATTTTTTTTTTTTTTTTTAATACACTTTAAAACTTGAAAATGCAGCATTCTACAAGAAAAATATTATTTCAATTTTTAACACAACAATTACAGTTTACAACTAAGGCCCATATCACATGGTGTTTGTTTCACACAAACAACTGTTTCGGACAATTTTTCTGCCTAGTTTACTATTTACCTAGTTACTGCCTAGTTTAATATTATTCTAAATTTAACTTTAATACGACATAGTAAAAATAAGTTTTAATAATAATAATAATAAATAAGCATTTTATTTTACTAAAAGTAAAAGTATGCTTTTTATTCTACTAAAATTCTATGTGCAGCAAAACTCAAACAGAAAAATATACAATTACAGCATAGTTTTGTAAAATCATTTTATAATTTTTTAATATAATTTTAAAATGTGAAAAAACTTGTTAGTTTCTACTTTAAACATAAAGAAAAGTCTCAAATGCATTTTATTGTCTTATGATATGAATCAAACCAGGTCATTTTAAAAGATGGCCTTTTTCGTTTCGGGGAAAATGAATCACACTCACCGACACTTTTAGCTCGTATCTAACATAATTTCAACTTTTCCTACAATGGATTAAATGTTCGCTAATATATCATAATTTAATTATCAGGATAATTATGAAAAGATGAAATATTCAAAAGCATGCAAAAGGAACAGCTAAAAAATAAAATGAACACTAAATAATGACACTATTATAAACAAATTCAGTTTCATTAATACACATATATATATCTACATGTATAAATCATAATAAAAAATAAACTTTAAATTATCAACAGTAATTTTTGGCATGCTTCTACATGAAATATATTTCTGACAAGAAAAGATGACACTATCAATGACCTGCCATAAAAACAATGAAACGATTGCTACTTTCTATTACAAAACACTGTTAAAACTTAAATGATAAATATTTTAGAAGATAATGCAATATTCAGTGAAAGAAAACCTCAAATTACAAAATGAATGAAACTAATAAAAGATCATGTAGAAAACATATGACATGATAACACTCCTTAACACTGTAATAATAATAATAATTTACAATTGATAAAAGAGGGAATTTTAGATTTTTCCTTGCGTATTTCTACCAATTAAACATTTTTTTAACTTATTTACATAGAACATTCAAAACACTACAGAAATTTTTATTCCTTCAAATTTAATCTTTCACGAGAAAATGAAACTTGAATAACAACATTTGTTCTTCATAATAGATTAAATATATCACTGAAAATGTGCATAAAAATAAAATAAAAGTACAAAAAAAAGGGAGTACAATCATTATAACATACAATACGATTAACTGAAATATATAAAGCAAATTTAACAACCGAGCTATCCTAGAAAAATTGCATATATCAATAATTATATTCATACAGTTTTAAAAGCAATCAAAATTTATGCATACAAAATTTTTAAAACATTCCAAAAATAATAGATTTTAAATATAAATTCTGAAATTTCTTACTACAGAAAATAAAACAAGTTTTATATTCAAATAAAATAATCTTAAAAATCATACTTCTTTTTTCACAAATAATTTAGAAGTCAAAACAAAGGAAAAAAATTGCAAAATAAAAGCAAAATGTGCAAAGGAATGTAACGATTCTGAAAATCAAAATTCAAAAATTAAACGACAGAAATATAACAAAATTAAGTAAAATACAGTTAGACAGATGTAGAGATTAAGATGATTTAATGTATTTACACACAAAGCCAGCTTTATGATATGATCGTGCAAAGTAACAATTCAAGATGCCATACATTTATTAAGAATATTCAACTCCATAAGCATTAAATTAGAATAATGATAGGATTATTTAGGATCTAATAATGGTAAACTGTAATTCTACATCATACTCGTTATTTAAAGAAAGGATGAACTTCACATAAACAAACATTAAGTAACATATTTATGTTTAAATTGCATTCCAAATATGAAGGAGAAAAGTTACATGATTAAATCTACCTTCATTTAAATTTCTAAATTATCAAAAAAATCATTAAGATCCCCAGTTAAAGTAGATAATTGCATATTTCTGAATATAAGCAAAACTATGTATAAGTAGAGAAGCAAGAATTTGCTACAAAAATTCAGCCTAATTTGAAGACTCCTATCTAAGTTTATTTTTAAACTGCTCTATAAATATAAATACAGCTGCATATTGCCAAATTTCAAATAATTAATTGTCTAATTTAATTAACCAATTAGTGAAACTGCAGGCGAGTCTCAGCTATTCATAAGAAGAAATCAGTACTGTAAAACTTAATGTGTATCAATATAAAATATGATAAAAATAATACTTATCAATTACTCAATTTACAACATCGGTTTCACTATCCAGTTAGTTATAAAACATTCTTAACTTACACATACACCAACTCCTAAGTGGGTGAGAACTTCTTACTTTTGCATGGAAACAAAAATATCTAGAACATATTTGCTTTAAAATACTTTTAAGACAGCTTTATTATGAAACACAAAAATTAAGAATAATGCTACTTAAATCATGATTTTTTTTTTTTTTTTTTTCTTCTAGAGTGGGAGGGCAATAAATTTTTATTCTTTACATAATGATTGCTCCTTCAAGATGTTTTCATAGGAGACAACCCTTTCAATTTTAAACTTGTTGATGCAAGAAATTAATATTTTCAACAAATGAATATAAGTCTAAAATTATCATAAATTTATACATATTTAAAATGGAACGAAAGATTTTTTTGTTTACAAAATGATTTTAAAAAGAATGTTCCAAGCTAATTTCTCAAACAATATATCCCAAAATTATACTTGTTCATTGTGAAATCAATAGAACTAATTAATGCAATTTGCTAAGTAAATTTTACTAAATCATATTTTGATTTATATTATGCCTTTCCTACACTCTCAATAAACTATTAAGTTACTGAAATAACTACTATCTATTTTCATTTTATTCATACGAGACATATACGATGTATGTTTTCTATCTTATTTTGTTTAGTTTACAGACATGGAATTCTCTTTCTATGAGGCTAAAAACAAAAACCTTTCCATAAGGTCTCCCGGAAAAGGTTTAATTTTATATTTTATTTTTCAGCAAATCAACTTACTTGAAGTCTATTATTCAATATTATATATATTATGTTTTCCTCATAAACATTAGCTTTTAGAAAAAGAAAGAAAGATATTTGTTATGATGCAAAGTCATTTAATACAGAGGTTCATAAAAAGTCAAGAAACACCATGAAAACAATTATAAAATCTGAAGGCAAAGGCAACTATGGCACATAACTTACAACTTTTTAAAAATATACACTCATAGTCAACATTCAGCAGCAAAACAACTCCAAATGTTCTTCTTAAAATAGAAATATATTTGAATATTAATATGGCAGCAAGAAATTTCTGATTAGCACAATATCGCAAAATATATACAATGTGAAAGAAAAAAAAAATGTGGTGAATAAAAGGAAGTCCCTTTTTTAATAACAATAAGTTATTAAGGCACAAAAATGAAATATCTTATTTTCACAGGGAGCCATCTTCCATCAATTTGTGCATGTCAGCAATGATACGACCTAAAAGTTCTTTATGACTGCTATCACGACTGAAAACAGCATCCAGGAAAGATGGGTTGGCAAAAAAATTAAACACGTGATCTATCCTACCTATTGATTTATCAGTCAAATGTCTCATGACAAGGTTTTTAATGAGAGCTCGACATTCATTAAGGGCTTGCAAAAGGAAGTTTCGATCATAAGAGAACTCCACTTCATAGAAACTGACAATCGCCATAGCAGTCGAATGAAACTTTTGTTTGAATTTTTCTGCAGTGCACAGTTCATCCTGATTAAACTGATCATTTCGATACAGAATGCCAATCTTGATCACAATCTAAACAGAAAAATTAATAAGATGTTTCAGTTGAAAATAATAAAATAAAACAACATAAAATCACTACTTAAAAATTTTATTTTCTTTGATAATTTCCATTAGATCACATTACATACCAGTTACAAATAAGCAACAAATCTGCACACATAAAAAACTCGAGCCTGATTTTCAATAATATAAAAGATTCCATTCAAAGATGTAAAAGTATCCATTAGACAGTTTATATTCAATCAGAAATACATATAAAATTTTTTTAAAACTTAAACTTTTATTATATAATTGAATATTTTTGTGAGCTACAGGATTATTGATGTTTCTTTGAATAATAAGTCCAGATAAGCAGTAAGAAATTAACAACCTATTATGAAAATAAGCAGCACACACAGCACATTAAATATCTGAAAAAACTTAAATGTATATATTAAGCAAACCTTCTTTAGAATACTAAATAAATCATAAAGTCCTCAAATAGCTCTCAAGATAGAGCCGTAACTCATAATTAGCTAAATGCTAAATCTTGCAGTTTCACAAATGAACTCCCTAGTTCTCTGATCCACATTTATACCCTGTAGCTTGGGCTCCAGAAACTTCTATACATCAACAGAAGGTTGACTTTCCTGCAAACTAAGTACAGAAAACAGCATACTTACCAACCTATGACACCCAAAAATCAGAAGATTTTTTTAAGAAATCGGGAGATTTTTCACAATGTCAAAAAGACTTTTTAAATGATGAAAATATAGTTTTTAATAATGAATTAACTTTAAATAGTAACTAATTCTTAAATGCAAGCAACACAAAAATACCTTACACATAAAAAACATTTTTATTACTTGCATCGATTAAGAAAAAAGAAAACCACTTTAATCAGTTTTTCGAACAAATGTTATAAACAGTGGCAGATTTTGCTTTCTTTAAGAAAGAAACTTCATAATTTTGTTCGTAGTAATTGCCACGTAGGCCTGCTTTCGCTAATAAAAGCTTTTCTAATAAAAGCTTTTCATCACTAATATTAGATCTAAATTTAGTCCTCGTTTTCGCAACAAATACTGAAAATTTTCTCACACTCTGCATTATTATGGTGAACTGTCAAGATGGCCAACATAATTCTAGACAGCTCACTACATTTTAAAATTCCATCAGCAGACATTCTGCATTAGCAACTTTTTGGTCCTCTGTTTCCGAAGAAAAATTTTATTTTTCGTTTTTTTCAACACAACTCATGTTGTCCTTGTGTTTTTGTGTATGCACATGTTTGAGAACATCCGCCCTTCCACCATGTGAAATCAAAAAATCGCAACGACAGGCAGTATACATCACAAATTTATTACATTTCCTTGAGGAAATAATGGAAGGAAAGTCAAATGTGTACGATTTTTGAAACGTACACGAGTATTTCCCCTTTCTGGCAGAATCAAAAGATGATAATTTCTAAAACTATTTCCCTAAGGCACGTATACTCAAACACTCAGGACAAAATGACCGAAATACTAAAGAACATCCAAATAACCGCTTGTTTTGTCCTCATTGGCTAATTTAATATGCCAGATGCACGTAGTGGAAACGATGCCCCCATTGGAGAACTGGAGAACGACGTTTCTGGATACGTATATGCTCTGCTCTCACTTACAAGCAGAAGTTATTAATTCGCAAGGTTTGTTTTAGATATAACCTAGAGAAAATTCAATTGCTTTCAGACTGCCAAAATCACTTTTTTTTTTTTTTTTTTCTTGTTTATATAACAAAATATTAAGCCAAGTTCCATAAAAATTGTGAGAAATTTTAAGAATAAGAAAAAGTCGGGAGAAATATTGTAAATCGGGTTGGCGGGAGAGCGGTCGAAAATCGGGAGTCTCCCGCCTAAATCGGGAGAGTTGGCAACTCTGAAACAGCTTATTAGCAGGAAAAATATCCAGAACAATCTAACCCAGATATTCAAAACTTCCTTAAACTATGCCTTTTTTAAAAGAATGGTTTCCTTCATCTTTTTCTTACGTTTTTCTCTACTGTAGACTATTACATAATAATAATGCAAATAATTGTGAATAAATGACATAAAAATAAAAATTAGACTAAGAATATGAACAAAGGTCTTGACAAAACTGCTTAATAGATTTATGGTTTATTATTTTTAATTCTGTAAATATAAGCAAGTTTTCAGACACAAAATGAAAGATTCTAAGTGCCCCAAAATTTTATTTAAATTAATGTTTTAGAATCATTAGGTCATATCAAAAGGAAACTGAAGAAATTTTTTCTTCAGTTTTTTTCAGTCAAAATTTTTTTTTTCTTCACAAGAATGTGAACTCAGGACCACCCAAATATGCACCAAGCATGCTTCAAATTACACTGCAAAAGCATGCAGAAATCAGATAAAAAATATCTTATATACTTCCTTTTCAAAGAGCAACCAGGGATGAGGAGACCCAATTGCCAAATCCTAGTGGTGATGAATTATCATCCAACACCTTTTATTTCGGGAACCACTTGTAGAGTATTTCAGAATTTTTCAGTGTCAGAAAACTGACAAAATCTGCAATGCCCTCGCCAAGATTCAAACTCCGGACCTCCAAAATATGCATTATTGTGCTTACACAACAAAGGCCTGCAGAAAGGAGGGAGAAACACTATATAATGCAATCGCTATGCTTGATGCACAGATGCAGTTCTTTTAAGGACAGCGTGTAAAACTGCTTAACTTAGTTTTGAAATCATCTCATTCAAAAACACTGAATCTGATTCTTGCTTCTGTACCAAATTATTGACTTCATTAAAGCCTGCTTCCTCTAGGTTAGAAGAGGGAAAAGTGAATGTTGATTCAACAGCTACTACTATTCTATGATATTTCTCTCAGATGAATTTTAAATTCCAAAGCTTAGCATACACATCTGTTCTAAATACGACTTGAAAATTTGATAATATAATGCTGATTTTTGTCGTTTGACTTCTAAATTAATACTCTTCACTGCATTGAACTCTTCTTGCATTAATATCAAGATCAAATATGTCACAGTTCAATAGTCGTGAGCCATGCTAAGCACATTAAAATTTTCAATGTCTCAGAAGTAATCATTTTTTTAATGTATATGTTAAATGTATGTGTGCTTGTCCAAAACCACAATTTGCCCACCCTTATCAGCCTTCGAAATTATAACAGTAGGATTAGAATAAATTTCATGCAAGGCATTTTTTTTTTTTTTTTTTTTTTTTTTTTGGTTGAGATTCGAAACAAATGAATTGTTGTTAAAATTCACATTATAAGTAATTAAATGGTGAATTGCTTCTTTGTGTGTTTCTGAAATTTTAGAGAATTTAAAAGCTTTTCAGTAGGGTGAGATTTGAGGAATTGAAGTTTCGATGACAGGAAAAGTTAAGTTATATTGTATACATTCCTTTAGGAAAGATTCACCTCGAAATATTAACAATGGGATAGGTTAACAGTAGGAAGATCCACAAGATAGGCTGGCAAGTTAATCACTTTAAATAGTGATACCAAATATTAGAGCCCTGGATTATATTTAAAGAAATTAAATAATGAAGAATCTACATAAATGTATGCATGTTTCTCATACTGTGACAAAAGAATGATACCTAGAGCCATCAAATTTTGAATAACGTACATCTGGAAGCCTGAATTTGGAATTTGCTTTATTATCTACTTCATATTTTAAAGCATTTATGAGTTTTTGATTAAGAAACTCAACGATTTCAAAGTGAGCAATGGCAGCAACACTGCACTGTACGGGGGGGTGGCACATTTATCTCCAGCACGCGAAACCCTGTATAGGAAATTCTAAAGATATGATCTTTTAAATATTTTGTGATATTGCTGTTGAACTGAATTTTATGGTTTAAGTACGAAGAAGATGGTATTTAATAAATAAAAATAACACACTAAACGTTAAAAAAAAAGGCCCATTTGGGAAGAATATGAAATCTGAAAGCTTTCAGATTGACTTGAGACAAATCCGAATTCTACTCTAATGCAACATTCAATGAAATCTCGTTTTACATGCCCAACAAAATACCGCAGGCTAAAGGTAAAGATAAAAATTAAGTTCTGACCAACATGGGGAAAAAAATCCCTCACACCAATGTGAGCAAACTGCTGTCAAACAAAGCCTCTCTTCTAAAACCTCACCATTCATTAGATGTGTGAGAGATTAGATGTGATGAGTCATTAGATGTGTGAGAACAACATTTGGCCTCTGTTACCTTCCAAAAACAAGGAGGTCATAACACAAAGAGAGAAATTCAAACCTACCTTTTAATAGCTACTTACCAAAAACTCATCGCTTTACCATTTGGTCACTAACTAGCCCCCTGTACATTCTCTCCTTTCTAAAGTGCAATTTATTTTCAAACAAAAATGTTTTCTCTCTAGTCAAACAAAAACCTAGCAACTCTTTACTCATTATAAACTCCTATTCACCACACCCACTAAGAAATTCTATTTGGAGAACACTGACTAAGTAATGAACAACTCTTCCTCTCCTTCTCTAACTGCAAAACAGACATGCAGAAAAATCTCTCTGTTGCATGTCAGCCTCACCCAGAAATTCCAATTGTGCGAGCTAGCAACATAAGGAAATATATCCAAACAACTTCATGTAAAGTTTAAAATGTTAAAACACAAATGATTTAAAATTTGGGAACAACAATTGTGTGAATAATACAGCATCCACCCCCACACAAGTTGTTAAGGTAATCCACTCATTTGCTATGTATCCATGGATAATGTTTGAGCAACACTAGCAGGAAGCAAATATGCTAATAGCAAGCAACGTATGAGTATACAGGAGTTCAAGGCTAATTTCGGCACAATCTTAAACAAATCTTGCTTCAAAAGTTGGTAGGTTCAAGATCAAAATTAAGAAGACTCTTAATTACTTAATTAACATCACTAATGCTAATAAAAGTGTTTATGAGAATGAACATATACTCTTGAAAAATCTGAAATCCAAATTTTATGTGTAAAAACACTGAAAGATCAAATTTAACCCATTCACAGGTAAACAGAAAATAACTGAAAAATCAACATTATTTATGTTCAAATAAAACATTTCATCTTTTTATATAAAAATACAAATGTAATTTGTATTAATTTATTTGTGTATTTTAAAAATTAGTATGGTTTCTCATACTTAAAAAATGTAACATTAATATAATGGCTATTGCAAAGTCAAACTTTTGTGTAAGGCCCACAAAACATTTTGCACTCAAATTTCATACAAACTGTGCATAATTACTGTTTGACGGTCACCAAGTATACAACTTATATTTTCAGATTTTTCTCAATTATAAGGGCTAATACATGAGGTTTAGTAACATTCAATTTTACATTTGCATGTCTATAAATTATCCTTGTCCTCATTCTGCAATAAGAATTTTCATTTTTAGAGTTATTTAAAAAAATTCGTGATTTCAAAGATAATACAGCAATCACTATATAAAATTATGAAAATGTGATTTTGAGGAGTTCTTTCAGAATTTCATGCACTAATCATGCATAAACAAAATGTGCAAAGCACCCATCACTTTCATTTCCTTGATTTTTATTATACAGTCAAAAGTCTTTAATCCGGACATCCATAATCCGGAATGATCTATAATCTGGACCTCAAAGCTACAAACTTTCTGTGCATGCGTAAAAGGGATAATGCATTTATGCATGTGCATAATACGTTTACGCATGCACGTTTAATGTATAACGGACGGTATAAGTTAAGCTAAAATTATCTAATTATCTATTTCAGTTAATGTTGCAGATTGTATTGTTCCTTAATCTTCTAATTGAATTTGGCTTATTATTTTTTGCAGACTGTTAGAGCAATTTTATAAAAGTAAGCTTGAACTTTCGATTATGTCAAAAAGAATTTCCGATTCTGGAGCTGCCAAAGGACTTACAAAGCAAAAGCATGTTTCGATGTCCATCAAACAAAAAGTGGAATTGCTGCAAAAAAATGGATAAAGACATATCCTTTGTTTCTTTAACCATTCCGAAATCTGTTTATCAATTTCACTCTGCTCTGCGGGGGGGGGGGCGTCGCGGCACGCAATGAACTGGAAGTTGATCTGTCAGCACTATCCTTATCTAAAGGGCAGATTTTTTATTTTATTCAGCTTATAATTCCTTACTAAATGTACTATTTCATCTCGATGTACTCCGTCTTTGATATGATTTAAATCAAATTCCTCGTCATTATAAATATCACAAATACACATCAAATAGTTTTCTGGTTGCAATTTTCTAATTTCGACTAAACGTAATGTATGCTTTACGCATGTGCGTGTTGAAAGAAATGTTTAATAAAGTAAACAAATAAATATTAAGCTTTTTTTTTGTAAATTTTGATACCCTTTAGATCATAATTGCTCTTTATTTCATAAATTACGGTTTCATATTTTTAATTTTATAATTTCTGCATGCCATCTTACCAGATTTAAACTGATGATCTATAATCTGAAAAAACCGATAATCCGGAATCGCCAAAATCCCGACGAGTCCAGATTAAAGATTTTTGACTGTATATCTACACAATTATTAAAAACAGCAATAATGCTCAACTTCTTTAACTATAAAGTTATGCAGATTTTTTTATAATTCCCCTTTCCAAAATTTTCCAACAGTGTTTCAGACCCTTCAACTACAAGCCAAATAGATTTTCACTGAATATCTACAGAAACATTTCAATTAATGAAAGATAACACTCCCCTCCCACTAAATCTTTTTGTTCATGTTCTAATGTAATGGTTAATTTACTTGTTTATTTGAATACTGAAAAGCATATTAAGGCTACTTATTCACAGAAATTAATATCTTTGTGCAGGACTTTCTAATAGAGAGCAATTCATTTAACTACATAAAAGTATATATTTTACCAAACAGAGATTTGAATCGAAAATAAACCCATGTTCTGAGACCTACTCTACCATGATTCTGTACTGGGATACTAAACAAAAATGATGCTAAAATCCATCTGGAAATACATTTCCCCCTGTATCTCATTTGATATAATTTTAGTTCTCAAGCATGTTCACTCAAAATAATCATAATCATAATAATAAAATAAGATTGATCTTTACATTATGGTAACTTGGCGTTTTTTTGGCGAAAATTTGGCGACCAACTCTCCTACAGCAACCGTCTATTTTTTTTCCCGCCGCCATTTTGTCTTCACGAAGTAAAGACATGTTTCTTTCTTTTTATCTACTGAACACTTCTTCCAACAATCTACTAGCCGAATTACACTTATGCTAGAAATTTTATCTAACAAAACTGCTTAATCATGACAAATATTCACTGCAAAATTGGGAAAAAGTGCACAATACCATACTCCTTATGCGTTTTTCAAAATAACACATACACATAAACCATGTACACGCCGACTTATTTTTACTTAAAAAAACATCCCAGAATTGCACAAAAATGGCATTGCGCACACTCTTCACTATATCCATGTACACTGCTTTTTTCTCATAAATTAGAAAAATTTCACGAAAATACATGACAATTTTCTCAATCTTAAACCCGACCGGTAAAAAGAAACATATATGAAATTACCTGATCGCGAAAAAAGTATTTACCCTTTACAAATATGAACATTTCCACATATAAAATAAATAAATATCCAAAAACTTTTACCTCTAAATCATCTATTACATTATACACACGTCACCAACGAATTCATACCGCAAGCATTACAAATACTTAGTATCAAATATTTTAATTATTTCCATGCACGTTTACTTCAACTTAAATGTATACCAAATTCCTACAAACATAAAATTCACAAAATAACTATCATTTAATTAAAATATAATTAAATTCAAAAACACTACTTAAAATATAAATGAGCACATACATTAAATTAATACATACATAAATACCCATTTCGAATTACTTTAGTTACGGCCATGGGATCCAAAAATTCACGAACACACTGTTTCACACAACACAGAATAAAGCCAAATACAAAATTTCCAGATTTTTTTCCCCGATTTCCCCCCCTTTTCCGATTAAAGAACTGTAATTCGTCCATTAATATCACATGACATATCCCATGATCTCTCATTTCCCTCACACAAAATAATGCGTAATCAGAACTGAGTACTGCTCACATTATTACCAAAGTCCCAGGTAGTAACCTTTATCGCCTCCAAAATGTCGCCAAACTACCAGTTACCATATTGTAAAGATCAACCTAAAATAATATAATCACTCAAAATTATCCATCTTAAAAATATTGGATAATTGTTGTTAATATAAAACATTTGATGCTAGAAAAATTAGAGGAGTATGATTCTCTTTATATTTATTTTCAGAATAAATCTGAAAAAGAGTTTTGGCAGAATGCCAGCCAAGACTGTGTTTGTGACATGACTATACATGAGGAAAGACTATACAGACAAACTATACATGAGGAAAGGATACACAAAAGCATATCTTGTTAGTATAATTAATAAAAAATTATGTGAATTATAAATTTTTCACCTTGCAAGTAAAAAAATTCTTACTTTAATAATATTTTTTACTACTTTTTCTGCTTCTTTCTTATTTCCAGAGTGGGCTCGTCCCAAACGATATAAGTTGTCAAGCAAATTTCCAGTTGTATCATCAATAAATACTTTGGCAATACTCTTGTTAGCCATGCGGCTGAGAAGTTTCTTTTGGGCTCGGAAACCAATGTCCTTCGCACGAAAGTTGGCTTCACCCACTGTAATACACATTTTACACATATAAATGTTTACATCAAAACACAAAAAAAAAATTTAATAGAAAGAAAATAAGTTACTAAGCAAACAATATTAATAATTCTTGAATAAAAGCACAATAATTCTCTGAAATGAACAAAGCAAAGATCAATTTCATCTCCCATTTAATGACGGTTCAAATCACAGCATTCATATTTACAGAAATTAGCTCTGAAAAGGAAGAAAATTTAAATATTTTTTTTTTTCAAAATTTAACCCAAAATTATAAATTATAGCTGCAATTAACTTGTTTGTACCAATAAAATCACATCCACAGCTAACACTGAAAAACACATATATAGTAATGTTATATAAATGGCAATCCATATTCAGATATAGTTATAAATTATTAGTTATTTACTCATTTCTTATAAAAATATACATATAAATAAAAAAAGTAAACAAAAGTAAAAAAAAATCTGAAAGGTTTCAGATTTTAAATTATGTTCAAAGGGGCATTTTTTTTGTTTTGTGTGTTACCTTTATTTATTAAATATCATGTTCTACATACTCAAACTATAAAATTCAGTTCAACAGCAATATTGCAAATTAATTTTAAAATGAGCCCATCTTTAGAATTCCGATACACAGTTTGCTCGCTTTGAATCGTTTAGTTTTTTAATCAAAAATTCGTTGAAGTATTACAGAATCTGAAATCGCAAATAAAACAACTTCAAATTAAAATTAGGGCTTCCACATGCCCATATTCTACAGAAAATTACGTTACTCAAATTTTGATGGCTCTACTTAGGGTACAGTCATTTTATCACAATGCAAGAAACATACATATATTTATGCAGATTCTTCATTATTTAATTTCTTTAAATATACGATAGAGCAATAACATATTGTGGCAACGATTTGAAAAGTGATACAGCCTCTTAAAGTTTTCAACGGAAAATGCCAAAATGAAATTAATAGTCCTTCAGGGCAAACTGCCCCTTTGGACTAAAAATTAGATTAACGTGATTTAATCAAAGAACATTAAAGAATAGAACTCCTTCCCCTATTTATATTACAGTGATATTGCATTTTCAATCTATGAATCACAAGTTTATGAATGATTTTTGACTAATGACAAAACTTGCAAAATAAGAATAATTTAAAGATGTAGAACAGACTGGCAGTACACAAGTAATTAAACAAGCTACGATTCCAAAAAGCACAAACAAAATTTCAAACTTAATAATAACACAGTAGATAAATCACACAAAATGTGAAAGTACCATATTTAATAAAAAATAAGAGTTCCCCCCCACACACACACACACATTTTAAAAGAAATGTTAATAAATAAAAAGGTAAGATATTTATTTTGTTTTGCACTAATTCTCAAAAAGTATCTTGGGTTTTTTTTTTTCCTATCCTACAAAATTTCCTTGAAATAACAGCATAATTAGTTGCAGCCCAAGAACACTGTTTGTGATACATTGTTATGTTTTTTTTTTTTTTTTTTTTTTTTTTTTTTTTTTTTTTTTCCCCCGAGGCATACCAGTGACAAGATTGTAGATGTGAGCCTAAATGGAAATTGCTCATAGAATTAGTTTATATAGTTGTTTTATAGTTGTGTGGTTTATTCAATATTTAAATTGTGCAATTAATATACATTAATTGTACTGTAACTATGATTCGTTTCTCAAATTACCAGTTTCTAAAATGCTATTAAATTTTGGAACAAAAATGTAGCAAAAAAGGAAATCTCAATTTTGAATAAATACAGTAAAAAGAGAGAAAAATCAAATCATTCTATACTCATAGGCATAATATATGATGTCAGAAACATCTATAAATTATAAAAATGCTACAATTTTTCATAATCACCAACTGGATGTATGACAAATTAAATATATTTCAAATTGTATTAATCAAATACATTATGATAAATAAAATGAAAAATTAAAATATTAAAAAGTATGTTTAAAAGATGAAATGAATGGAAAATCTTCATTTTAAATTGCTCTTTTTAATTACAAAATATAAACTTCTTTTAAAATATTAATATAAGCTTACTTTTTGTAAACACCAGAAGTTTTCGCTCTTCTATCTGTAAAAAATATAGTTAAAAAGTTCAAATCAACAAATGCTTAATTAAAAGAATTTCTACACTTAGCAGCTTTAATACAATAAACTTATAAATGTAATCATATTTCATATAAATCCACTTGAATTTAAATAAATTAAGAATAGTTTGAAAATACATAGTTAATAGAAGTCAACAATATTTACATTCTAAAAACAAATGAATGTGTTATGAATTTTGCATCTCCATTTTTACAAATATAATAATGACTACTGAATATGCTCTATTACTAAGGTCATAATTAATACTAAGAATTTAAATTTAGTCAACTGAAGAATATGACCTTGTTTTCATTACAAAAGTTTTAAAACTGTTATCATAGTTGTTCAAAACTTTTCCATGAATTATAAATTACTCTGTTTAATTTGGCACAGCATTATATAGCAGATATATTTCTGATCTCAAAAAAGTCGACTATATAGTATATTAAAGTTTTAATATGAAATTATACAGAATACACAACTGCACATATATATATCCTGGATATTACACATACTTAATTTGTTTAGCATATGCACCCTTCGACTTAATTTGTTTTTTTTTTTTTTTTTTCACATATGACATACAGACCGCATAATTTTCATATCCAATAAATAAATAAGGTATATAATTTAAAATCTTCTAAAACAATATTTACAGAACACAGCATCATCGATAATACTGTAAACTAAAAAGCAGATTACATGCTCATTCTATTAATTAACAAATCAACTAAAATTCTACATCCTCCAATCATAAACAAAGCCTACACACGAAGTCAAAACGTCTTCATTTCCTCCTTTCAAATGCAGTGACACACAGGAAGTTTATAGGTGCTAAATAACAAATAAAGCGTACGGCAGCTTTTTAATGGTAAAAATGCATTAAGAAAACAGTAAGTCTTGAAGAAGGACATACAAAATGCAAACACTTTAGATATCTGAATTTATTTTATCAACAGAAAAACAATAATGAAATTAGCATAAATACAGCAAATAAAATTCCATGCGGAAATGGAAGTCCGTATAAATGGAAGTCAAGAATGAGAAGTAACGATGTATTACCTGCTGCATAAAAAGCAATAGATCAGCGCAAAAATTTGAAATCAGTGTAGTTAAAAATAAATGAATTAATGACAAATTTAAAGCATATGCAAGTATCAACAATGCGTTCTTCATGCAAAGAAAAGTAGACCCTCCGACTTAATTTGTTTAGAGCATATGCACCCTCCGACTTAATTTTTTTTTTTCGAATATGGCATGAAGGCCGCATTATTTTCATATTCGATAAATAAAGCTAATTGGCTATAAACCAGTTAGCAAAGAATAGTGCGAAATGCTTCGGAATACAAACTTTCGCGAATGATAACCCAAGAAAATGATTACTTACATTTGAACAATCCAGAGATCAATTCAACATCCTTCTTTCAATACCTTCACGTACCAAACAATTTCTTTGATTTTAATACATGTTCCACTTCGAAAGAAAATCGCTAGACAGACAGACAAATTAGACAAATGTCTTATTTTGCATTCATTAAGTCTTTCTGCACACAGGTAGAAAAATGAAGCTTAGGTGCGGAGGAAAGATACAAAAAGAGCAAATTTTGCGTTTCAGAGAAAAAAGTTTCGTATGTTTTTATAAGAATTTCATACGCCAGATAACAAAGATGGAAAAAAACTAAAAAATATCAGGGCATATTAAATTCGTTACAGAGAACAAAAATTGTTAAGCAATTAAATATATATATATATATAATATATATATATATTTTTTTTTTTAATTTAAGGGCTTAATTTAGATTGAGAGAGAAAGAGGAAAGTAGAAAGTAGCCTTTCGGTGCACGTGTCAATGAACGCGATGAATAAATCGAATTCTGTGCATCCTCATAGTATATAATGTCTCTCAAGTGTATGTAGCCAGTAAATATTGTATTTTATAATGTACTGAAGATGCTAACAAAAAAAAAAAAAAAAGATTAAATTTGAGAAACTAGTTACTCAAAAGTATAAGCCCTCCTGAATAATTGTTACTAAGTACCAAGAAAGGGAAAAAGAACTTCTACCTCGATGAAAACCTCTATGTAAGAACCTATGATCTAATTACACATTGTTTCTATTTTAAATGGAAGTTTCAATAGATCAAAATCTGCCAATATGCCTCTTCTTAAATGCCAATATGCTTTCTTCTCCTCATAAGACCACCTAATAGATAGCACTAATCTAATATAAGATTGAATTTCCAAAGGGGTTCAATAAGAAAATGTTTCGCTATTAACGCATCAATGTAAATAAATTATTGCTAAAATAAGTTTCTTAACAGCAATCAGAAATTTGTCTCGTGATATTTGTTTTCAAAAGTCAGTATCGAAAGAATACTTCTTACCTTTACAGGCGAAGATATCTTAACTTGAATTTCCTTTTCAATGGTTGAGAGATTATCAGTAGAGTCTATGGATACAACAAATCAACAAAAAATGATTCTGAATCACCCAATGTACAACACTAGTTATCGATATGAATATCCTCCTGGAGAAAATAAAGCCAGTTTTTTAGTTGAGCAAATGATCTGCAGAAAGGTATTTGATTTTCTGATCAGTGCTTTTAAATCATGGCTATTGTGAATATCTTTTCAAAACGGCAACATAAATATTTGTGGTTAAAGTATAGTATATTATACATATATATGACATATATAAGAAGTTACTTAATACATACGTTCACTTAATACATAAAGCGATTATAACCCAAGTAGCACACGACATTGCAAACTGGTCCGAGAGGTCCATTGCAAAGTGGTCGTGGTAACTTTTACGACGTCTTTACAACGTTGCAAAGACGCAAAATATTTGCCGTTGCATCTTGGCAATTTGTCGACGTCTCTGAAACGTCATGATATGACCGCTTTTAGACGTGGTCGTTCTAGCATTATTTTTTTAATTCATCAGCATTACTTTGAAAAGAGACTAATAAATCTGCCCTTTCAAGAATCTGAAGATTTACTTTGCAATGTTTCATTACTTTATTTCATCTAAATATCTTAATCTAAGGTAGATTCATCTAATAAAATTTAAATTTAATATAGATACTTTTGGTTTATTAAATTTAATTAGTACTAAAAAACGTGCTAAATAATTGTTTAAAATTTTGTTAAAATAATTAATACTTAAAATATTTTGTATAAATATTATAGCAAAATATTCAAAAAAGAAACTAATCTATAAAGTAAGCTATTAAGTTATGCATTTTATATACTTTAAAAAATCATATTTCCGAAATTAATGCAAATCACATGTTAGCAAATATTTCATTACTGAAATATGACTTTATTTCTTATTTTTGAAGTAAGGCGAATTCACGGCTGTCTAATATGACGGAAAACTCATCGACAGTCGAGAAGCAGATCTGTACATTATTTACCGGATGCTTATATAAACAAACATCTCAAAATTTGTGCGCTTTGGGTAGCTGCCAAATTCGGACAAGGAACTGCGCAATTAATTCAGATTCTAGCAGTTCTTTCAAGTAATTTGGTAAAAATGCCATCTGTAAGGCGTTTGAAAAGACTGACTACATGTTTGAAATTGAATCAAGCAATGACTGATAATATTGCTTATATTAAAAGTAATGTATTGAATGCACTGTTAATCAAAGAACGCATTGGGAATCTTCTCATTGTTCTGTATCTACTTACTTCAACTGCCTTCAGTGAGTGAATTTGCATTGCTGTGAGCTCTTGCCTGAAGCCTCTGAATTGAGAATAATGGGTCTAGTCTGGACACCGGTCAAGATCGATATCGGAAAACCAGTCGGGATTCACTTTCCACTCGACAGCAGAAGGGAGAGCGAGTCTGGCCCCTTGAAATTCCGTCGGCAGAAAGTGAGTGGAAATTCCGTGCGGAAGTGACGTTTATTGCATAGCAACCAGTCTATCTCACCTCTACATTGCTCCAGGCTCAGGTAAAGGGCGTAGTTTGTTGTCAAAGGGGCTGTTTCGCACGTGCTTATTACTGAGGGTGGCGGTAGAAAAAAAAATCGAGTTCGAGTATATGGTGAAATTTTCGAAAAAATACGCTGCTGGATTTAGTAAAGAGTATGGAAAAAAGAAATGGGAAACGTTAATGGATATTTCAAACGCAGAAAAAAATGGCCTTTTCAAAACTTCAGGTATATGTAGAAACGGAAACATAATTTTAAGTATGATCTTTTGCATAATGGAAATTTTCTAACAGGTTACATGTTTGTAAACTATTTGTTAACAGGAATTTTATGATTACAATACATTATTTTGTCTGAAAAGGTTATGCAACAACGTCATAAGTCAAATCATTGAAATACAGCACAGCATACGCGTGTTTAATATTCCTAATGAATTTGAAACAAAAAAAATTTTAATTTTAGCAACCCATGATTATATCAATAATTTTATTTATTCAGGAATTATACCTATCACGTAGCTACAAATATACTATGTATCGTAGATACCAATAAGCAGTATGTAAAAATAAAATATAACAAACTTTTAACAAAAGTAATAGGAAGAAAAATAAAAAAAATTAAATAACTATAGGTTAAATCATAAAACATATTATCTTGCACACACACACATATATATATATTTTAACATATGCAGTGAAAGGAAATTGCAATACATATTCCTATTTAAACCCTTTTTAAATCAATCCCACCAGTGACCGTGACACAAACACACACATATATATATGTCATAATAAGAGCAAAGGAAAGGAAAAGCCGGAGCAGTGTCGATGCTTGCTTAGATCCATATTGAAGATAAATTTGATTGCGTAGTATGCAGGTAATGCTAACTTGGTAATATCTAAAGAACTTGGCAGTCGAAGCAGTTTTAATTCCATTTTTATTTCCAATTGATATTTGTGGCCACAAACACTTGGCACTCTAGTTGTGCCTTTCCACAGAAGATTTACATTTTTGATATTGTTGGAATAGAAAGCAAGCCAGCAAAATTAAATCTTAGCACAGTAGAGAGCAAAAGCTGAAGTCCGTAGTTATGAAAGATGGAAGCACGCGAAGAGAAAAGTTTTCGTTTACAACGACAGTTTCAGTTCCCAATGATTACGTCATCAGAGCTGCGCTGATCACAGAGTGATCTAGAAATGAAGCAATCCAGAGAAGTTATTACGATTTTAGAATAGAGAGGAAGAATTTATGTTTATAGTTATATTATAATTCTGATTCATATATTTTTATCTTACATATTCCCGCCTTCAAAAAGAAAAAGGCGTAGCGACAGAGAAGCCTTTTTAAAGAGTTAAAACACTAGCAAATGTAAAAAAAATCATAAAATCATAAAAATTTTGTCCTGTAAAGTATAAATTTATAAATATCAATTTTTTTAATAAATTTTTAATTTTTAGAGTCCTGTTGAAGAATTTTTCAGCATTTCAGTCCAAAAGTCTTTTGTTTGAGAGTTCACATAATCATAATTCTTCAGGGAAAGGTTCTTGTTATCGCAAAATATCACAAAATAAAACGTTTTTACATAATCATTACTTATAATTAAATGTAATGCACATAAATATTTATGATACTTAATTTCTATAGTGATAAATTATAATTTAACATCATAAATAATAGTATTAAGATTTTCAGAATTTATGGTTTCACCGTTATCATCTTTCATTTACAGTTCCTGATTTTACCAAACTGGAAGCCTCTCAATACTTCTAAACAAACATATCCATCAATAGGGCTGTCCTCTTGAGCTAACCAGTGTGTTCTCTGCACTGGTGGCCCAGGAAGCCTAAACAGTTACTTGAAAAACTCCGTTCCTTGCATTAAGGTAACTGGCCTTTGAGAACTGCATTAATACATTCCATAATAAAAAATAATAATAATAATAATAATAATATAAAAAATTTACATGCATTCATAAAATGAGAGCCTCCAACATTATCTTGCATGAAGAGGGTAAAAGGAACAACTGTACAGAGGTAATTACAGGCCTCTGTTGAAGGAACCAGTACTCCCTCGACATACACTATACTTAACATGCAATCATCCATAAATTTAACATGCATTTACCATAATTTCATATTACATATCTTTAATAATTTCACTTATTTTTTACACCTACTTCATTTTTAGAATAATTATAAAATTAGTATTCAAAATTCTCAACAAAATTTCAAAAAACATAAAAACTTATCTTAATATCCTTCCCTATGAATAATTTAAATAGCTTAAAATTCGTTACTTAATTTGCTCACACATAATTATGAAAAATTAGAAAAATGAATGAACAAGAATTTCAGATTTTCTCAAAACAAATTGCAGAAATTTTAACTAAAGTTGAAATGAAAACTATTGAATCCTCAGCACATTAAATAATTTAGTTCCTGAGCTAGATCACAAGAATGTAATAATTTTTGAGCTGTTGAAAAAGCGGAAGTGCAAATAATTTTCTGTCGCACATACTTGCAAACACTAACTCAGATCGACCTTGAACCCGCTGTAATGCTGAATTCCTAAACGGTAATTC